CGAGACACGCGCAATTATAACGGACGATATCGCGTAGACTTTGTCACAAAGGTCTACGTACGTACCATCGTCCTTACATATTAGGGAAAGTGCGAAAAAGTGTCGTTTTCCAATGGTTACGCTTAGCTGTTTGAACACGTTTTATCTGCTAGCTGAGAGAGACCGAGAGGGAGAAAACGTAGGCTAATCGCTGTTTCGAAGATGTAAGTAGATATCTACAGGGAACGCGACGGTTTTATGTCTTGTCGATTCCAACACTTTCTTGCAGTTTTCTCGCGATTTTAAAAGTTATAGAGGAATCGAGAAGCAACCGGAGAATGGACCGATGTAGATTTTTGCGACTAAGTAGAGAAAGACTAAGGGAGAAAGAGATGTAGATTATGTGTGTGCGGAGTGTTTTCTCTCTCGATTCCTGGACTCTCTTGACTAACGTCGGGATCGATTTCTCTTTAAACGAAAGACGTCGCGACGCCAAAGATGCCGATTCCGAGAGATCGGCGAAAATAGGCGAAAGGCGCACGTGAGAAAATCGGACGTCGGAGAAAGGGAACACGACGGGACGTGCAAAAGCGTGTACGTCGAATGAACTGCTCGGGCAGTTGACTTTCGATAATGGAACATTGCCAGGAGACGCGGCCGCCGAATGAATTTCCTTTAAAGACAAATCGACCGACGAACTCTCGCCGAAGCATCCGCGGTCCAGGGTAAATTGTCCGGGACACTCTGTGTGTAGGCATACATAATAGATTTCAATCCATAGAATCTCTCATCGAGATAGAAACATTACAAAATCGAACTTCGGAGACAACGGGAAAGGGACAGGGGAAACAGATGGCAGAAAAAGGCAAGTTTATGGAGGAATGGATAAACGTATATTTAGACATGAACACGTTATCCTCTTCATTTCTGGGGCCAATTGGTATTACAGAGGAGTGTTACAGGCACGTGCGCATCCCCGATTTGTATTCACATTCGGGGTGGCTCTTCGCCGAATTCCGTTTCTTTCGCGTCTCCGCGAGATTTTCCAATTTTTTTACATGCGTTCTCTGCGTTTGCGTTACACGGATCTCTTGATCGAATCGCCGAGCGAAATTATCAATTTGTGCAAGCGCACATGGAAAAGGAATCAGCAATAACGATCTTTCTTCAGCGATTTATTTGAAATTACACAGAAAAAAAAAGATTAGTACTTAAATCAAGATTAAATATTCTTATATACAAATAAGAAAATCATAATTTTCTTAGAAAAATTTTAGTCTTGATTTAATTTAAATCTGTATTAATGCAAGTATTCTCATATATAAGCAAGAATATTATAATCTTCTTAAAAAGTCTTAATTTGATTGATTTTATATTGATTCAAATATTATTTTTGCTCAAATCAAGATTAAAAATATGAAAATTATTAACTTCGACAAAAGCGTCCACACATATGTACATCTAAAATATAGATATATTCATATATACATACATTTGTGCATTTATATAAACAAATTTTTGCGTAAATTTTTTGTATCACATTAGGTATCTAAGCCTAATTCTAAGAACTCAATGTTCTTCATGTAATCTAGTTTAGCGATATCAGTTTTGTAGTTGCAGGCTACGAAATTTTTACATAAAACAAAGTTTTGACAACTCTGGACGTGAAATATATTGAAGTGAAAAAGATCTAAATAAAAAAAAAAATTTTTTTCGTTCTTACACAAATTCCATCTGGTAGATGAATTAATTGTGGAAAAGGATTTTCAAATCTATAAAATAAATACATGAGGCAAGTTGTCACGAAATATATCGCATTCTATCGCGGTAATATGAGTGCAGCTCTCTTTAAGACTAATTTTTTTTTTTCTGTGTATATCCTTAGCACCGTTTGATACAAGTCGAATTCTTTCTCGCGCGAGAAGCGACAGAGGGTCGAAGCGTCGGAATGCCGCGTACGTCGAGATTAGAAATTCTCTTGTTACGTCGAGGATAATGACAAAGTGTGATCGAGAGCAGGTGTAAACAGCGTACATATGCACACAGACACGTACACATACACGCGTCAGATGACGAAACGAAACGAAACACAACGCATCGACGATCGCGACAGTAGCCGAAGTATAAGAGTATAAGGATCTCGAGTGATATTAAAAACGCTTTCGTTGACGCAATGCGATCGCAACGATATCGAATCTGATGCTGCGTTATCGGGAGATTTATGCGGTAGGATATATCTCAAATACGGTAAACGCCGAAAAAAAAGGCTGCGAGCTCTCGCAGTGACCTTTATTACCGTTACATTATCGTCGTTAATTATTATTATAAATATCGTCACGAAAGATTATTGTTCTATAAATAATAATTTCTGATCGTTATATATACATATATTAATTATTAATATCTTATATGTACATTAATTATACCATCTATCTTGGGTCATATTAATAAAAGGAGCGATCGCTCTTGATGAACGAAAGTAAAAACGCGAAGCAGAAACCGTTTTTCTCGGAGGTGGAAGTGGTCTCTCCATTTTTGCTGTTAATAACATTTGCTCTACGTCTTAAAAGTGATCTCGCTCGTACGAGACGACGTTAGAAAATTTATAGAAGATAAACTTGCTCCATTTTATTTGTATGATCCATCGCGATCTGACGCGGCACCAGCGTTTAACGTATTCCAAACACAAATTGCAGAAGGCAGTCTCTGTTATCAGCGTGATAGTTAAATACGTACTTCCAGATGAAAAGAAAAAAAAAATAAATAAAACCATTCCGGCCCGAAGCGTTGTTCGACAAGTGCGTTGCGCATTTTTTCCGCCGTTTGTAGGCGCGAACTTCTCCTAAATTCTCTTCGCACAAATAACAAAGTAACGACGACAAAGTAGCGTAACTTACGACGGACCATATCAATGAATCATATCAACTAATAAAAAAAAATGGGAGGGGGGAAATAAGGAAAGAAAGGGGGATATCGTCGATTGTGAACCCGAGTGAAAGCGAGTGGTGCGACGAGTTTTTGACATGTGCTTTTAAATGCAACGAGCTCTCCTGTACAAAAGTATCGCCGATTTTAAGCGGTCGTTCTTGCTGCTAATTTATGTTACACTCGTCGAGGGAAATTCGTATTATTTGCGGATGTTATTTCATATAGATACGCAAAAAAGAAGAAAGCATCCTTTTTTTTTTTTGAATACAAATTGTATTTATTTTAATTGTATTTAAATCAAAATCGATGCGGTTTTCGATATTAAGCTTCTATCACATCGCGAAATACCACTCGTAAGATTCGCGTAGGAATTTAGAGATATTAATTCTGATACGAATTCGCCTCGACGCACGTTTGCTTAGGCTTAAGCTTGCTGTAAGTGATGATTTGTTAAAGTAACTTCTCTTCACCTCCGTTGATCGCGATGACGAAACGACATACAACGCTTTATTACCAATTGCTTGCTGCGAGCCCGACATGTAAAACCGACATGTGCGAAATGATGTATAAAAGTAATAGAAACGAAGGAGACACGAACGAGCAGAGAGGAAAGTCGCGTGTGGAACGCGCGCGCGAATCTCGATAATTAAGCAAGGATTACTCGAGAAAGCCTTTCAAACTGGGAAGCTGCTGCTGTTGCTGCCGAGCCGAATAAACGCGCATGCGAATAAAATGTAATCAATTTTAATAATTCCGACATTGTTTCTATTTCGAAAAATCTATTTCTTAATCTTCCTTAAATGTAAGAGATGTGAAAAATATCTGGGTCATCCTGCCGGGACCGCGATCGTATTTTTCTCAATGCATGATGAGGAGAGATCTAGATTTCATAGATTGCGATTACGTCACACTTATATGAGCTAAACATATTTTTATTATTGATCGAAATGCCTAATCAAGCTTCGTAATAGATTTATTTTCCAAATTCTCGGAGATATTTCACTTTAAGATACCATATCCATGGCGGCTTTTTATTCTATCGATTCGCGACGTCATCGAGATCAGAATCCAAAAGTTTGAAAGGTTTTTAGCTGCTGAACTGAAAACGGGCGAGCGTTCGGCGGTGTGAAAAGTTCCTTCACGCGTTAAGGACACGTGAGAATGACGCGAAGGAGAAAAACGCGCGTTCCCACTCTCTATACACGCTAAATACACACGTTCCACACAATTATTGCGAGAGTGCACGTAGAGAAAGGCGCAAAGGATGTCTAATTATCTATTTAAATAAGCGACCAATACACGCTGAGGTAAATAGGCTTGTTATTGCGACAAATTTGCTCATTCATTATCAACCGAAGAATCATTAATCAGCTACGAATCTGTACTCGTGAGAATTAAACGATCTTGATTCTTGGCAATTTCGCTCGTTTCTCTCAAACCGTCCCGCTCACGTCTCCCTATCAAGAAAAAAAACCTCATAAGTTTAACGTAATCGTGCGATAGAAAATTATTATTATTATTTTCATAAAATGGAAGAAATGAAATGTTTTATTTTTAACCGTTTTTTTTTATTATTTTCATAATTTTTTCCGTATTGGGGAGATTTTTCCCGAATAAAAGTTTATCCTGATCCAAATTGAAGAGCTGTCTATCTATCAATTCAGCAAAGCGGAATCATCATTTTAGTTTTCTGAATATAAAGTCCGCCCGGCCGGAAGGAATTAAATGTCTTGACGTATCAATCAATTCCCCGTGCAACATGATTAATTTTTATTCCACGCGTGTTTCGGTCGACCGACTTAATAAAAATATGCGAAGAAATTTAATATCGAGTGCGTCGAGGGGCGAGAAACTTTTTCAAAATTGCCAGTGTCCACGACGGTAACGTTTACTTGGCTTTCATTCGCACGACCCATTAATCTCCCTTTTAATTCGCGGCGCGTCGTGTATCCTCGGTACGACGATAGCGCGGAAAAATGAGATAAAATCATACTCGCCAACGAGAGTACCCACGGATACTCTCGGAGCACAACGATACCCCGTGATACCCCGAGATTTCTCGTCTCGCGGTAGGAGTGGCGACAAGAGCAAACACGACGGAACCAATCGCCGAAGAAGGGTGGTCCAGCGGTTGTTTGTCTTCTCGACCCTCCTCCGCGCTCCGGGGATGCCGCGGAATCGCGCGGAAGAGCCTAAACGTCCCGTACATCCGCACGTCCGCGGCCAATCGAACCGGACCAAGTCGCCAAGCCGGAAGAAGCGAGATATCACCGGCGATTAGATCTCGCTCCGGCTCTCCTCTCGCGCAGTTCCGAATTAACAATCGGCAAGGAGCCCCGCGCGCGCGAAAACGCCACGTGCCAATCTCGATCATCTCTCGCGACTTCCTGCCGCTGTCGAAGTCTTTCTCACACAAGCTTCGTGTGGCTCCTAAAGCTCCGATAACTCACAATAATTACATTGTCAATATAATAAATACATATTTTGTTGTCACATATGTACAATCGTACTCTCGGTTGTCGACACGTAGAGATCTTGTACGCGTACATTTCGAAAGTACGAAAGTATCAAAAATCGCAACGCCAGACGCGTTCACGCTGCATCACGAATACGTTTCGGATATCGGCGGAGATAATAATCAGTGCGCGAGTAAATAAATAAATAAAGTAATCGACCAGATCTTTCTGTCTTTACGATTTCTTTACAACGAGATCCGTGCGCGGCGGCACGATGTGGACGGCCGAGTAAATAAAAAAAAAAATAAATAAACGATCATCCTCGCTCCGCGGCATCCGTGGAACTGTTACTATGCTTCGCGGTAAGAGCAAGAGCAGGTCGGAGAACAATGAAAACAACGAGGGAACGGACGGGAAGCAGAGGAGACCGAAGTGCGCCCGCTGCAGGAATCACGGCCTGATCTCGTGGCTGCGGGGCCACAAACGAGAGTGTCGCTACCGAGAATGCCTGTGCCCGAAATGTTCTCTGATCGCCGAACGGCAACGAGTAATGGCCGCACAGGTAAGTTTCCTCATTCATCCCCTGTTGTTTGTTTTTTTTTTTTTTTTTTTTTTTTTTTGCTACTTTTTTTTTTTTGCTACTTGTATAATCTCATCAGCGACGACGCTGCTGGGATTTCCTCGTTTCTTCGTTGTCCCCTCATGCCTATTTAATATTAGAAAGCTGTGAACACGTGATCCGAAATGTCAAATCTATCATTCGCGAAATGTAAATGTCACAGATCTCCGCCCTTCCCCCCCCCTCCGCCTGCCGTTCTCCGACGCCGTCACTAATTTAATATACGCGCGAGTGCGTGTTATCTTTCTGCGCTTTGAACGGAGCGCGTAGGAAAAATGTGAAAGAAAAATGTCAATTCGTTGCACGCGCAGTTAAGCGTAATTAACGCGCATCCGATATTTTATTTCACACAATTCACCCTCGGTATTTAAAGAGATGCCCGCGCGCGCGCGCGCGCACGCACGATCGGAACTCGTTATCATCCCTTGCGTTCCGCGTCCCTTTTAACGAATAGAGAATCGCGCGTCCGGAGTTCCTGAGTCTCGTGCAAAACAGAATAAAAAAAAGGAAGAAGAAATAAAATATAAAAGTCCAAATCACCATGGTAATTTACAGTTAAAACGGTATTCATTCAAGGTAATGTATATATAGAGGATACGGAAAGAGAAGTATAGAAATGTCGGATTTGGCTCTTTCGCGGATCGGAATTCCTAACGATACGACGTTTGGTCTCGCGCGTGAGACCATTTTTATTTACCGCTGTCGAGTTTTAATTGGTCCCACGTAATTTTCCGTTTATGAAAAATTTATTTCCCTCCAACATCACCGAACACTGTAATCGCTCGATCGAGTGTAATCTCTCGAATTTGGGCATCGCAATATGCATCACGCATTTCGCGACTACGCTCCGGAAGAGAAGGAGGAGGAGAAGGAGGAGAAGGAGACAGTGGAGGTCGCGGGAACGGTAGGAGGGCGAGATAAATTAAATCCATTAACGCTCGGGATATAGCGTTTCATTTCTGTTTGCATAGGCATTATGACACTCGATACTTTGTTTGCGACGAGACTTTCGATGCGGTAAGCGCGCGGCAGCCAGCGGCGTTTAAACGCTCGCGTTTCTACCCCCTGTATCTTCGAACGAAAATAGTCGGACAGAGCGAGAAACTCACACGGATGGTTGCGGTCAAACAAAACACACATCCGTGACCGTCCGTCCGTCCGGCAATAATCGCCAGTGCACCGCGTGTAACCGCCCGCGGTTTTGCCATGGAAACTTTCGCGCGACGCGCGAATTCTGGTAATTCGCGGTGATTAACGCCGCTGGAAGTAATATTAAGCATTATCGGAATTATATATATGTACTCCGAGCTTGCCAATATTCATTTCTTAATTCTTGCGGCGCACGCACACACACACACACACACACACACACACACACACACACACAAGAAATTAATATTCGACAAGCTCCGAGTAGCGCAGAATGAATTCTCTCTCAATAAAAACGCCAAGTGCATTCCGATCTTGTTAATATAAATATTAATATTAATTGCCATTTGGATGTTTCTTCTTGATTTATCGGCGCGCATTTCCCTAAATAAGACTTTGTAGCAAATGCTTTTGTAACAAGCGGAGGAGAGAGGAACACATGGCGTTATATTGACCCGGCGAGTGAAATCGGATAGCCGCTCCCGTTGAGCTGTTTGATGGTTCGAACGAGATCGACGAGAAGACGGGATGAAGAAGCTGCTGGCTAGTAGATTCTCTCGGCATCAGCGACGTGAAAGATTATTGCGGGTGGTCCAGCTTGGAATAACAGCGCGGTAAATGCGGCCCATACATAAGCGACGGGTCCATTTATAAGTCGAGCGCAGTCATGATCCATCACGATTCGATTGCTATACGCTATATGTATAAGGATCTTTATATACGACATATGTTCCACCATATTAATTATAGCATGGAACCGCGAATCAATATTACAGATTGTATTTTTACTCGTTCCAGTCTCCGTGATTTTATGACTCTTCTGAATATTTATCTCTAACACTAATATTCATTTCCACCAGTGGAGATTAACTTTAATCTCAATTTAACTTTTCATTTAATTTGCATTTTAATTTTTAAAAATTGAAGAATAAATT